ATTTTTTTAAAAAGAGAAGTTCTGCCAATCGTAAGACTCTGATTTCTAGATGGGAACTGGAGAAGCTCATCTGGTGCGGCCTCCCACCTTTGGACAGGTGAACGCCCAAACCCAGGTGGCCTCTTACCACACCCTGCTCGGCACCAAAAGAAAACAGCCATGGTTTGACCTGCCTGGCGAATGCTGTGCTGGAGAGTGACAGAGACTTTGGGGAAATGGTCATTGACTGTTGAAAGATCGTCATGCGCCCTCGAGGGGTCTCCCATCGAGGTTGAAAGGGAAAGTGGAGAGGGGCCAGGAGATCCCCAAGTCCTGGCCTTGTTCCCGTTTCACTGTGGGACCGGAGCCAGTCATGGCCTCCCAGTTCCTGTCTCGGGACAGTCAGAGCGCTGGGTTTTCCAGGGCCTTTACAATTCTCCGTTTCCCCAGATGGAAAAAGACAGCTTCTGTGCCCGGGGACAGCAGGGGACAGAGGGAGAGAGTGGTAATAGACAAGTGAACAAATAAGATTCTTTGAGACTGAAAGTTTTCTGAAGAAAATAAACCAAGGGATGGTATAGGTGATGCTGGGATGAGATAGATCAGCGGTTCTCAACCTGTGGGTCGCGACTCCTTTGGCGGTCGAACAACCCTTTCACAGGTGTCGCCTAAGACCATCCTGCATATCAGATATTTACATTATGATTCATAACAGTGGCAACATTACAGTTATGAAGTAGCAACGAAAATAACTTTATGGTTGAGTCACAACATGAGGACCTGTATTTAAAGGGCCAGAAGGTTGAGAACCACTGGGATAGGTAATGATGGGGGATAGACATTGCTGGAGGGCGTGGATGATCACGGACACTGCTCTGAGGAGGGGCTGCCTGAGTTGAGACCTAGACAATGTGATGGAAGCCCAGTGGGGGTGGCAGGGAGAGGGCGCTCAGAGCACTGTGTCCTGCAAGGATGGGGGAGGTGGGGGAGACAAGGGGTCAGTATGACTTTTCTTTTAAGGGAAAATAAGTTTCTGTGCATGGGAAGCATAAATGTGATGCCACCCTGGGTTTGGTGGGCCAGCCTTCATCCAATACCCAGCCCAGGGAGCTGTCTGTCCCTCAGTATCTCCCAAGAGGGCCCACCGAGTCCCTGCCCAGGAGTGAAACATGGGTGTGTGTTGTGGGAAGGATTGAGCACCGCTAGGAAGAGCCGTGGGGATGCAGAGGCTGGACTGTAGCGGCAGAATTATACTTCCAGGGGAAATCGGGGTGTTAATAAGTCAAAGGTAGGAAACCAAGGCTTGTCCACCCACCCAGGCCATCCATAGGAGTTGGTCCAATACGTTCTACCTCCTGAAGACCCTCTGAAGATCAAGGCTGACACAGCACTAATAGTTCTTAGTATGCTTTGCAGTAAATCATATTTTAATGAATAAAAATTAAAATGGAATAAATTAAATGTTCATATCCTTTGACCCAGCATCTCTACATTTAGGAATCTGTCCAAGCAAAGAAGTAAGTTCAGAAATGTTCACTGGCAGTATAGCCTGGAGTAGCAAAAGGCTGGAAATGAATGAAATGGGCCTGGATAGGCCCATTGTGGCATAGCCTACAACAGAAACCAGGCAGTCTATCCAAGAAGGAGGGGGACTCATATGGAAAAGAATGATCTCTGGGGAATATGAGCAGGTGAGAAAGGCTGGGTTGTCTTAGCTCAGACTGTGGCCAAATGAGCTTGCTGTAGCTCTCAGCTCCACACCCCTGTCCTCCACTGGCCCCAGAGCCCCTCCAGCCAAGGAACATTGGGACTCTGGAAGCTCAGACACGCCTAGTGGCGAGAGGAGGGAAGAGCATGCCATACACAGTGGCCCCTTGATGGCTGAGCTCCACCAACCCCGAAAGTGAACACTGGATGTCTCCTCCAATCAGAAGCGAAGGAGTGAGTGAGGGGTGGGGCATGAGGCCAGAGTGTTACTCTGGTGCATCTCCCTCCCAGTGGTTCTCAACCTTCCTAGTGCCGCGGCCCTTTAATACAGTCCCTCATGTTGTGGTGACCCCCAACCATAAAATTATTTTTGTTGCTACTTCATAACTAATTTTGCTACTGTTATGAATCGTCATGTAAATATCTGATATGCAGGATGTATTTTCATTGTTACAAATTGAACATAATTAAAGCATAGTGATGAATCACAAAAACAATGTGTAATTATATATGTGTTTTCCGATGGTCTTGGGTGACCCCTGTGAAAGGGTCGTTCGACCCCCAAATGGGTCGCGACCCACAGGTTGAGAACCGCTGCTCTACAGGGAAGCAGGAGGAGTGGAGAGTAAGTGTTCCCACCTAACAGATACTATCTCCGGAAGGGGTCATAGGAAACTGGGGTGAGTGGCTGCCAGTAGGAAAAGAACAGGGAGACTTATTTTGATTTAAAGATGTAGGAGTAGCCCTAACTGGTTTGGCTCAGTGGATAGAGCGTTGGCCTGCAGACTGAAGGGTCCCAGGTTCGATTCTGGTCAAGGGCATGTACCTTGGTTGCAGGCACATCCCCAGTAGGGAGTGTGCAGGAGGCAGCTGATCGATGTTTCTCTCTATCATCGCTGTTTCTAACTCTCTATCCCTCTCCCTTCTTCTCTGTAAAAAACCAATAAAATATATTTTTAAAAAAGAAAAAAGATGTAGGAGTAAAGGGTCATTTCTAGTCCCTTTTAAAGATTCAAGGGGTCTCCTCTACTTATGAATAATTTCCTCCAAAGCTCTGGTGAGGTCACTAGATCTGAATTCCAGGTGTCATCATGGGAGAGTACTTCTTTATTTCCAATTTTCCCGGCTGTCAAACAATTCAGACCAATCTCTAGCCACCCTTGTATTCCCCAAGGCCTTCGCCTTACACTGGACTCAAGACCTGACTTGACCCCTTGTATACACTTACCCTTTTCTGTGCAGGAGATTATTCCTAATGTCTGGGATTCCAACTGAAACCACTCTCAGGTGTTAACGCAACGCCTCCCAGACACTAGGCTCCGAGAACCACCCCCAGGATTTTTGCTGACACTGAAGACCACCTGTCCTTTTATGTACATAACATATTTTTTAAATGACTCACTCTTACAATTTCAATAAAGTTGTTTTAATGAGATTTTATATCTCTACTATATATGATATTTCCATAAAAAGGGAGAACGTAGCCCTGACCCAGTAACTCAGTTGGTTAAAGCATCGTCCAGATACACCAACTTTGTGGGTTCGATCCCCAGTCAGGGCACATACAAGCATCACACCATGAATGCATAAATAAGTGCAACAATACATCAATCTCAATCTCTCTCTCCTCCCTTCCTCCTGTCCTCTTTTTTTAAAATCAATCAACATATTAAAAAAATTAAAAAGAACCTTAAAATAAACATTATAATATCAAAGCAACATTGTTAATTCTAGCTACACACTATGGCTTGCCAAAAGTTCTGCTTATTTTTGTTTTTAAAAAAATGGCACATGTTAGAGACAGGCTAGCACCAAACTGGGTCTTTTCTCCTTGGTGGACTCAGACCATTTCGATGAGGGCTTTCTCCCTACATGGTTCATTGTTATTTGATACCATATCAGTGCACCATCCAAAATCATGCCTTGTAATGTGAATTCCACACTTTGGGGAAGACTGAGTTAAAGCCTTTCTTTTCCTTTTCCAGAAAGTCTTCAGGCATTTGTGTCATCTGAGCTGGACAATGTGTAAAGCCATTATCACCCTGAAGTTTGTGGCCCTGCCTGATGAGGCTGGCATTTTGCATTCCAGCTGGCATTGAAGTAATATCTGTGGTGCAGGAGCCTTTTTTGTTTTTTCCTTTATTGCGAGGATCAGAAACGCATCTCTTTGCAGGCAGCATACGCTGGCAGCTAAGAGTGACTAAGAGTGACGCAGGCCTAAACAAAGGGGAGGTTTGTCCTTTTAAAAAAGCATTGGAAGAATCTCTGAGCTGGTTCACTGGGTTCTTCCAAATGATGATGCAGAGTCGCAGCTGGGGCCACCCAGGCTGAGCCCTGCAGCCACACAGCTCCTGGCTCATTGTTAAAGGTCCTGAGTCTCAAAGGGCGGCCTTGGTCAGGGACTAAGGGAGTGAGAGTGAGCACGCTCCGAGGGGAGAGCTGACAGAGAAAGGTTGGAGGGTTTGGCACAGTGCAACTCTCTGGGTGGGAGAGTTGGTATCAGGAAAAGGCTCTTTTAATGATTCTATTTCAGTGTGTTGTGGCTGCACCATCCAGCTATGTCATCAGGGGGAGGGAGCATGGAGAACTCACACCTGCTTCTGAATTCGGAAATGCTTCAGACCGGAAATGACACCTACCAGTGTTGCTTACAGTCCATTGGCCAGAATTAGTCAGAAGGTCCAACCTCACTGCAAGGGAGTCTGGGAAATTCAGTCTTCCAGTGCCAGGAGGGAGGAAAAATGAATGGCAGCTGTCTGCCACATGTTGTATTTGCATTTAGTGGTCGGATATTGTTCAAATGAGAATAGATATTAAGAGGAAGGGTGTTCGGGGGTTAATTTTATAAACAGTAGGATCACTAGGAAATATTTGTGTTTCATGACCACCTTTGCTTTGTTACACAGCAGGGACTGTGATAATGAATACTCAACTCAGAGGGTGAGCTTCCTCTGGTTCTATGATATCCCCAGAGCATTGCTGGTGGGAGGGAGATTCAGACAGCATTTAAGCCCCCACACAGCCCCTCCTGCCCACCTCAGTGCCCCTGGCAGGCCACTGAAGAGGTGGGATGCTTTTCTGAAGTAGGGATTCTATTTGGTCCTCACCCCAAATCCTCCACAAGGAATATTCAATGTCTGGATGCAACGAAGAACAGCTTTGAAAAGCTCTAGACTTTGTCTGATAAAATATGCAGGCAAGGAAAGACAGGAAGGGCTGTTTTTCATTTTCTTAAACCCCATTAAAAGTTGCTTGTTTTTCATTTTCATTTTGTCGTTGACAAATTCCAATTTCTCACACCCTTTTTAGCACATCTCCTGCTCTCTCTGGGCTTTCAACGCGACCCCTCGCCCTACCGTGCCCTGTGAAAATGTTGGTGCTCCTGGCTTTCATCATCATCTTCCACATCACCTCCGCGGCTTTGCTTTTCATCGCCACCATCGACAATGTAAGTTCCTTTTCCTTATGACCATCCCAGAGCCCCTGGGTCCTGCAGTCAACAGTAGGATCAGAGAACTCCCCAAGGTGATTACAACTGCGGTTGTCCTGCCCACCAAGGCATGCCCACCTCCTGGGCCTGGGCCTTGAGGGCTCTGGCCTAAGTGCTGGGGTCTGAAGCATCCACATTTAGGTGGGCCGGGACCTGGGTCCTCTCATCTCTGATTCCCCCAAATCTTTGGTTGTAGGAAGCCCTTTGGCCACTCGGCTTCAATTCAGCCCTCCTGAGGTCAATGACGCAACCTTGGCACTAGGTGGACCAGTCATTTTGGGCGGGATCATTCTTTGTTGCTGTAGGAGGGTTAGCCACGTCCCTGGTCTCTACCCACTAGATGCCAGCAGCACTCCCACCCCTACTTGTGACAACCAGAAATGTCTTCGGACGTTGCCAAATATCTGAAGCGGGGCAAAATCATCCTTGGTGGAGGACCACTGCCCTAGCTCCCAGGTGACCCATCCCAGGGGATCTCTGCCCCTCTCGCTTCTGACATCTCCTGACTGACAGAAGCCCTTGTTGCTGGCGCCCCTGTCCTTGCCCTCCCCAGCAGAGCCCAGGGTTGGGACTCTCTGGCTCTGCCCATGCTCCCGTGAAAAATTGAGCTCTTTTCCTGTAGTGTCCAGCTCTCAGCCCTATGGCAGGAAAGCATTAGATAAATAATCTATTGGCATAGATTAATATCCCTGCCAGCAGGAAATGAAGCTTTTTACCAAAGGTCCCCTGTGGCCCACACCTCGATCCAAAGGTCTGGCTTCAATCCTGATCATTTCAGACTGCAGAGACATTTCGAGTCAGAACCACTGCTCACACAGCTAAAAAAAAATGCACCTTACAAGTGGCCATCAGCTCTGCCTACATATAGACTTCTGTTGACTAATTGTCATAACCGTAGTAACATAGAGCATCACACCTGTCACTTAGCGTGTGCTCACACTGGCCAGGTCCTGGGCTAGTCCCTTTTATGTGCATCATCTCAGTTGATCCTCACCTCAAGTTTACAAGATAGGCCCTCTCCTAGCCCTGTTTTATGGTGAGGGAACTGGGTCTCGGGGCAGTTAAGGTCCCTGCTGGAGTTTACACTGCAGTAAGTGGCAGAACTGGGGTTGGAACCATTACAGATCTGGCCTTGGGTCCTGTAAGGGCAGATAAATGCAGTGATCAGGTTTGGCTTCTTGCAGGTTCCTGAAGAACAGCCGTGAGTGGGTAGGGCAGGGATCACAGTGATGCCGGGCGTTAAAGTATTTCACCTTGCCATTATCCTAAGGGCCCGTGCTTGGTGAAATAAATGGTAGTGAATGTTCTTTTAGAATCTCCTTTTTCTGTGTCTTGCACCTGGTCCTCTGGGGTTCTGAAATGGTCGCAGACTTAGTGAACAGAATAGACAGACACGAGGGGCAGAAAAGCCATCAGCCACAGCACCCTCAGTCCCATGGAACGCTCCTGCGTGTGCACACGACTGTGGCGCTCACGGGCAGACACAGATGGGCATTCTTGCCAGTCAGTGAGTCACGGGTTGCTCATGGGTTAGGAATTGTGCTTGGCACTGTAGCAGGGCACGCAGTGGGTGCTCAGTGAATGTCTGTGACTGGGTGGACGGGTGGGAGAGAGTCCTGTCTTCTGGGGGGTGGAGACAGCAGAAGCAGGAGAGAAATGAAAGCATTTGGACTGAAGACAGGAGAGTCTCGCCTGATCATTTCGTCCATAACAGGCTCCCCTTCCCCGACCAGTTTCATCATTTTCTCACTCCCTTCTGCCTTCACCCCTGTAGCCCTGGTGGAATTTACCACTGTTTATTCCGCCAACTGAGCCTGGTCTCCTCTCCTCCACCTCGGGAGGGCCTGCACCATCCTGTCCTTTACTCAGAGCAGGTGGACATCACCTGGGCGCATCACCTGAGCCTGGATCTCAGGCCCCACCACCGGCCTCTCGAATCAGAATCTGCACGTTAACCAGCTCCTCCGGTGACCCGCACGCACACCGCACACTGAGAAGCACCGGTCCTCAACGCCCTTTCACCCCGTGCCTCCCACCCACCAGGAGTCTGTGTTTTCATCATTAACCATCAGCCTTTCCCTGTGTTCCCTTTTGTGTTACAGGCCTGGTGGGTAGGAGACGGATTTTTTGCAGATGTCTGGAAAGTCTGCTTCACAGTCAACAGCACCAACTGTACAGACATCGACGACAGCTTTGTCTGTGAGTTGCAGCGATGGGGAAGCATTGATGAGAAAGAGGCCGCCTCCCCGCCCCCTGACTCCTCACCCTCTCCGCCACCCAGCACGATGGGAGGGGCCCGGCCGGGGGGTCAG